GTTGTTGGGGTTGTTGTTGTTGTTGTTGTTGTTGCTGTTGTTGCTGTTGTTGTTATTGTTGTTTCTCTTGTTGTTGTTTCTCTTGTTGTTTCGTCGTTGCGGTTATTGTTGTAGTTTCGTTGGTGTTGCTGTCGTTGGTGATGATTTTTCACGCAGCTATTTTGATGGGTGTGAAGTTATAAGTAGTTATAGTATAGGTAAGTGGTTCTATGTTAGGAGAGGCTTGGATGAGTTAGGATTGGTTAGGAGGCCCAATAGGTTCCATAGGAATGCCGATAGTGTAGTCCCCGATAGTCCCCCCTGTGTTTCACTATAGGATCTATAGGAGCTTACAGTGTCCTAGCATCAGCTGAACTTGAAATCCCTAAACATATGCATTTTTCATTTTTCAAGTTTCCGTATTTTTCGCTATTTTTACTATTTCATACTTTCATTGTCTATCGTTAATTCCCACTACTTTTCACTATTTTCACTATTTGTTTGTGTTTAATTTTTTTATATTTTTCAAAATTCAGACATTGAAACAAGTCTGACCGACGCCAGAACGTTGTGCTCCAAGGGAGAAGACGGAGAAGGAGGAGGGAGGAGGAGGTGTTCACCTCCTCCTCCTCCTCCTCCTCTTCCTCGTCCCCCTCCTCCTCCTCCTCCTCCTCCTCCTCCTCCTCCTCCTCCTCTGCCCCCTTCTCCCCTTCCTCCTCGGCGCCCCTCTTGGGGCCTCGGCACCCCCTTGGTGCTGGCCTTCCTGGGCCTCGGCACCCCCAAATCCGAAGCTCCGAAGCTCCTCCCATTCCTCTTCCTCCTCCTCCTCTTCCTCCCCTTTTCTCCTCCTCCTACCCCTCCTCCTCTATCCTCTTTCCCCTCCTCCTCCCCCTCCTCCTCCTCCCCCTCCTCCTTCTCCTCCTCCTACCTCTCCTCCTCTATCATCTTTCCCCTCCTCCTCCTCCTTCCCCTCCTCCCCCCCCCCCCCCCCCTCCTCCTCCCCCTCGTCCTCCCTTTCCCCCTCTTCCTCTTCCTCCCCCCCCCCTCTCCTTTATCCTCTGCCACTCCTCCTCCTCCTCCCCTCCTCCCCCCCCCCCCTCCGCCCCCCCCCCTCCTCCTCCCCCATCCCCCTCCTCCCCTTCCCATTGGCAGCAGGCTGGATGTTAGCTGGATGTTGTCTGGGTGTTGTTGTCATGTTGTTTGTTGTTGTTTTGTTGTTGTTGTTTGTTGTTTTATGTTGTTGTTTTTTTTATGTTGTGTTTTGTTGTGTTTGTGTTGTCTTGTAGGGCGGGCGCACACAAAAACAACACACACACAACAAAACACAACATGTTGTTGTTTGTTGTGTTTTGTGTTGTTCTGTGTTGTTTGTTGGTGTTGTTGTGTTGTTTTTTGTTGTCTGGTGTTGTCTTCTCTTTTTTTCGTTGTTTTTTATGTTTCCCGGTTTCCCCCTTTTTTTCCTCTTCTGACTTGTTACCCCCCCCCCGCCCTCCGCCACCTCCCTCATCCGTTTCCTCCTCCCTCCTCAGCGGGCCAACCGCTTTGCGTTCGCTTCCCTCCTGCCTCCCCATTCTGCTCCTCAGCGGGCAGGAGGAGGAGGAGGAGGAGGAGGAGGAGGAGGAGGAGGAGGAGGAGGAGGAGGAGGAGGAGGAGGAGGAGGAGGGAGGAGGAGGAGGAAGAGGAGGAGGAGGAGGAGGAGGAGGAGGAGGAGGAGGAGGAGGAGGAGGACAGGATAACGATTTCGTCGCAGCCGCTTTTGGCTTCAAGTTTTTTGAATTCGCCCAACCGAATTCGAGAATTCGTTAAATGGCTGCCTGGGATCCTCGCTGCGCCACGTGCGGCGCCCTCGGCCCCGCAGCCAACATGGACGTGATAAAAAACGAAAGTTCTGAAGCGGCCAAACCGCTGCATTGTACAACTTGCAATGTAAAAGCGGTCTGCCGCTGCGGAAAGTCAGGAGAGAAAGGAGGAGAAGCAAGCTGGTTTGTGATTTGTTTTAAGAATTAGCTATTTTTTCATTTTCATTATTTGTTTCTCTATTTTCCACTATTTTTCATTTTTTTTTATTTTTATTTTCATTATTTAACACTAATGTTTTCACTACTTTTCAATATTTGTTACTATTTTCTTTTTTTTTGTGCATGCTGATAGGATCCTATAGTGCGCAATAGCTATATTTAGTGTTTTATAGTATCCCCACCCATCAAAATAGGCCGTTGGTTATTTCATTGTTTCGCCGACCGGCGCGGGCCCCCGCCCCCCCCCCGCCCCCCTTCCTACCGTAACCAGACCTTGGCTGCGTTGGGCGACTGGTCGCGTGATTGGTAATAGCAGATCGACGTCGCACCAGTCCAGGCCTTTGTGGGCCCCGGAAACGGCAGGACCGTTTTTTCACAGTTTCCAGAAAAATGCCCCTTTGAAAATGGAAACGGGAAAAAAACGGCGACCGGAAACGGCGCGAAAACGGTTCCAGGATTGGAACCGGAGCCGGAGCTGGTCAAAAAACGGCGACGGAACCGGTAAAAAAAACGGCGTCGGAACCGGCAACAAAAACGGCAAAACGGAACCGGTAAAAAAAAACGGCCTTGTCGTTTCCAGGGCCTACTAAGGTCCAGGCCCAGGCACCCGCCCCCCCACCTGTCGGCCAAATGTGGAAACCCCGAAGAAGAAACCGCCCACAAGGATGACCAGGGTCACCACACTCGGTATCGGGGCTGCTGCGCACACGGTCCCGTCCCAGGTCCCCTCCCCCATAGGTCACTATCACCAGGGCGCCCTCGAGGGCGCGAAGTTCTTCGCGCTTTGCGGTGCGGCTCCGGTTCCTCCTGATCCTCTTGTTCCCCCTTTGGGGGAGAGCGCGAGAGCGCGATGTTACTCGCGCTTCGCGCAGCGCGAAGCGAGAAGGTAGGCGCCCTTCAAACACACGGTCCCGTCCTCGGTCCCTCTCTCCATTTCGGTCCTTGCAAGCAGCAAGCGTGCTTTTACACTGCACGGAGCGCCGTCCTTGAAATGCAGTGCCCCTATGGGCCCGCAATTCGACGGGAGCTGCCGACCGAATCAAGGACAGGGAGGGGCCATGTAGTTCAATGGAGTGGACACGTTGCGGCGGGACCGCGCTCCGTCCATTTATCTGACCATGTCAGCAGCATAGTCATGACGCCTCAGGCTGGCAAAAAAAACCCACCGTCCGTGCATATGTTGTGTAACCACTGGTCAATATTTCGAACCTTGTGTTTTGGGGAAGTCTGAGTCGAGAGCCCCGTTTACGATGGGAGCCTGCCTCCATCCGTGCACTGGGTGTTTCCAAGTAGAGCGCTCGCGGTGCCAATGCGATGGCCTTTTTTGATACTGAGCCGACATCCATGTTTTTTGTTGTCGGTTGCTTTGAAGACGACCGGGCGCGGTGCCATGGGGGAGATATCCATTCTGAAGACACCAGCCGCCCTCCACCAGAGTAAGCGTTGGATTGTATTGCACACGAGTGATCCGTGCGTGGCGCCGGGGCGAGCGCTCCATTCTGAAAACGACCCGCCCCCAGCCGTGTGAGCCTTGGAAGTTTCAAGCTTGAGTATGCAACGCCAGGCCCGCCCTAGCCACACGTCTAGCGTTGTGTGACAGGGAGGAGCTCATAAGGAACAGGCGTTAAGGGGAGGGAGGAGAGAGCGAGGGAGGAGGATACCGAGGAGGAAGCGATGGGCAGGGTGCGGAATAGCAGTTCTCCGAGCACGGCACCTCCAGTTCATGTTCGGCTCTTGGGGCTGGGAGTGTTCGCTGGGAGGAGGAGGAGGAGGAGGAGGAGGAGGAGGAGGAGGAGGAGGAGGAGGAGGAGGAGGAGGAGGAGGAGGAGGAGGAGGAGGAGGAGGAGGAGGAGAAGGTGGAGGAAGAGGAGGTTAAGGAAGAGAGGGAGGAGAAGGAAGGCCAGTGTAAACCCAAGACTCGTTAACGATGTTGCAATCCACACTCCCTTCAAGTTCCCTTCCCATAAGTCCTTATCCGAAGTTAGTTGCATTGCAGGAAGTGCAAAGTGCCCCTTGGAAGACAATCGTTTGAGAATCCCACTTCATTCCAGACCACCCGAATTTCATCCGTGGGACTGCAATGCCGCGAACCAACGCCGCCTTTGTGTCTTGACAGTTTTCAACCGTGCCAGAATACCAGTCCTGGGCCTCAGACGTACGAGCCCTTGAGAGTGATACAAACTTCATCGGTTCGCCTCTGAATTTGCGCTGGTCGTAGCGGTGTTTGTGGTAAATGATGCCGCCAAGATCGGTTACATGTTTGTGAGACAGTTCGTTGTATGCAGCGACTGCTGGGTCGAGGCCACTACTGCTCTGGAGTGCAGCGACGCAGGCTTCCTTTCGAATGAGGTTGGTATCCAGTCGATCCAGTGGTTTGGACTGCGTGGTGTTTTGGGAGCCATGTCGCTTGCGAGGGAAGCAAGGTACGTGTCATCTATCGAACCACTACGATTGTTACAGCAGTACCGGGCTGGTCGCGGAAGGTTTCGTGTTTTGGTTTCGTTTTGAGCGCCCAGTGTTTTCGAAACGGTGAGAGGGAGAAAGAGAGGGATACAGGGATACACATAAACATATACTGCTGGAGCAGGATAACGAATGATATGACCAGTCCCGTCACGAGGAGGAGGAGGCGGAGGAAGAGGGGGGGTCACGGAGGGTAAGGGCGAGGGAAAGTTGGCAGACACAGGCGGAGGAGGCTTCTTGCCCTTCATCCTCCTTCCCCTCCCTTTCCTCATCCTGGTCCTCGCCATCCCCCTCAATGAGAATAGCGCGCCCTGGGAACAGGTCGTGTCATCTAGGCACGTGACGCTTGACGTTCTCCGTCGTCGAGCAGCTACGAGCTTGGATATTACTGTGGAACTCCCTTGGGATCGCAAGGGCGTGTGTCCCGTGCGCGACACGATGTCCGGTTATCCGAGCAGCTCTTGGCGACGCATGTCAAATTCCAGTGGATCCTATTCCTGCTCGTCCGCGTGCGCCTCCCCTCCTTCCAAGCCGCCACAGGTCCAAATCCGATGACAAGAAGAAGAGGAAGGACAAGAAGAAGGACGGCCGCCGCTGTTTATTGCTCCCCCCTAAGAAGGAAGCGGGGGCGAGGGCTGAGGGAGCGAGCGGGGCAGCAGCTGCCGACGAGAGCGAGACGGGAAGGCAGGCCACTGCGGCGAAGACGGTCTCAGAGATGCGTAAAAACATATCTGGGCCCCGCCGCTTCGCAGCCCGCAGGAGCTCACTGGCCTCCGCCCCGCTCCGGGGAGAGTGGGTGGGGGCACCGGACGCTCTGACAGCTTGGTCGGATGAAGGCTACATCCCTCAAGCAGAGCACGGGACCAGAACAGGCAGTTCCTTACGGTGGGCGCGGGCTGTGTGGAGCGGACTCCTGCGAGCGGTCGCGGACGGCGCCTGATGCCCGCCCCCCTCAATCTGCAGCGGAGGCCAATGCCAAGAAACGCCCTGCTTGCCTCCAGGGTGCGCTGGGTTTCTGGGGTCTCGATGGTCTTGCCACTGAAGGGATGACGCTCCCACACCAAAATTCAAGGGACGCCCTGGGGTCTCAGGGTTGGGTTTCTTGTGGGAGGTGTCTTGTGGACGGGCCTCCACTGTACTGTGAGCGGCCGCGAACGGCGCCCGATGCACGCCCCCATCCAATCTATATATATATATATATATATATATATATATATATATATATATATATTAGGCGCGCCACGAGTTGACGCGGCGCGCAACGTCGCGTGCCAGGATTCCCCGCCCTGCGCGCGCACGAGGCACGCCCGCGTGAGTGCCCCCTGCAAGCGCGCCCGAAAGCCGGCCCGTGAGCGCGCCTCGGAGCGCGCCTCCTAGAGGGCACCCTCGAGTGTGGCCGTTGTTGGATTGCACACTCGACCCTGTGACCGCTAATTTTCAGGAGGGGAAGAAACACACAGACACAATTAATCGTCCATTCCCGAGAAAATATAGGAAAATATGGGAAGTGGGGGGCAGACAAAAACCAAGAAAATATGGAAAAATATGGTTAATCTTTTTATTTGTGTGTATTTATTTGTGTGTCCCAGGGCCCCTTCAAATTTGCTGGGGGGTGCGAGGGGGGGCAATACTCGCCTCGGGGCGACCTCTGGGGCGCCCACGGGCGCTGGAGTTCCACGAGCCAGGCCCAGCGTTGTGGCCGCACCCGCCTCGAATGACCACGAAGGCATCTTTGAAGTTAGAATGCCCCCGACCAAGGACATCAGGAACTCAGTGGGCCCTGGAAACGGCAGGGCCATTTTTTCACCAGTTCCGTTTTTTTGTTTTTTTTGCCTGTTCCGACTGAGTTTTGGTTACCGGTTCCGTCGCCGTTGTTTGACCGGTTCCGGCCCCGGTTCCACTCCTGGAGCCTTTTTTTGCCGTTTCCGGTCGCCGTTTTTTTGTCGTTTCCATTTTCAAGGGACATTTGTTTTTCGAAAACGGTGAAAAAACGGCCCTGCCGTTTCCGGGGCCCACTAAGATCAGGAAGTGCCTCCAGCCGCAGCCCTCTACGGTAGTTGATATCGCTAAGCATTGCCATGGCGGGCCACCCCCTAAGTTCCAGACTCTGGGCCAACTGGGACCACTGAGAGGAAGTAATGAGGGAGACGCACCCCTCTCAAGGGGATGCTACATCCGAGTCCGCATTCGGGACCGGGGGAGGGGGGCTGCGTGGACGCGTTTCGGTCCTCCTTGAAACGTGCCGCGACCAGGGCGCGAGGCCGCGCGTAAGCGCCCCCTTCTCCTCGCGGTGTGCCCCGCCGTCGGCCCGGCGCACTCTCGCGCACGACCCGTTTGTTTCCGCCGCCCTGGCGGCACTAGCTCGGAGGCGCCCACTTTCGGGAGCGCAGGCTGCGCTCGCCCACGTGCAAATGCGGGCGCGATGCGCAGGATCGTCCATTTCACCGACCCCCTGATCTGTTATCCCCACCCCCACCCCAGACCTCTACCGTCGCATATCCCATCAGTTGGGGATACACCCTTCGAAACCCGCAGCAAACGGCTTGTATTACCAGCCTGGGACATATCCCTATCCCCAAGCTGGGCACCTCCTCATCACGACGCCAATCTTAGGGATTCCCTTATTTTTTGAGGGCGAATCCCTAAGATTGTCGTCGCCTTTTGGCGTGCCAATCTTAGGGATAGGGATACGTTCGAGGCTGGTAATTATACCCCCATCCAGGGGGGTACATCGGCCTGTCGGGCCCGGGCAGCTCCTTTGTGGGGATAGGGGATCGGATGAGCGAGGCTTCGCTGTGCCAGTTTTTTCCGCTCCGGGGGGACGTGCGCCACGCCGGCGGCAGCGTGGCGGCCTTTTGCATGTGCGGTTTGCGCGCCGCCTCGCGCAGCTCCCCACGCCGCCTGACCAGAGGGGCTCCGCTTTCCAGCATCGAACGTATCCCTATCCCTAAGATGGACACGCCAAAAGGCGATGACAATCTTAGGGATTCGCCCTCAAAAAATAAGGGAATCCCTAACATTGGCATCGTGATGAGGAGATGCCCAGCATAGGGATAGGGATATGTTCCAATCTGGTAATCCGCGCGGGGTGTCGGCGACCGCCCGCCCCAGCAGTCGCGCGAACGTTTGGACATCCACATCGAAGCGAGGCGCGGCAGGCTTGAAAGGAAGCACCCGTCGGTGTCACGGCTGAGCGTCTCGGTGCGACCCAGGTTGGGGGACACTCTGGGGGTGAGGAGGTGTTTGTGTGTGGGTGGTGCGAGAGGGGCATTGACATTCCCGCGGCCTGGCTTGTCGGGCGGGCGAGAATTTGTCGGGCGGATATGTTCCCGCGTTCGTCTCGTTCTTCCCTTCGTGGCAGTTCCTCGTTCATCTCCCCCCCGCGCCGTGTTCCTTTTGCATGTCCATCTTATTTACACATCATGACGCGTCCTTCTTGCTTGCTTGTGCCATGTGTGTTTGTTGTTGTTTTATCATCCTTAGTTCGTGTTGGTTGTTGCTTCCTGTTTTGTTGCTGGTTCATGTTGTTTGCCCTGCTGTGACCATCCTTAGCTGTTGGTTTGTTATCCTCGCTTCCCCGACATCACCTCTTCTTGCGTGGTTACGCTGAATGCAAAAAGGCTCCTCGACCGAAATATCGCACCGCGCGCTACGTATTTCAAGACTTGCAGGCGGAACGAATCATGTGAACACGGGAAGGAGGTGTGGAAGCATTCGGAGGAAGAGATGGCGGGCGGAGGAGTAGTCCCGGGCTTGTCTACTCGGCGTAGAAGATTTTGCTCCCCGATGCCATTTCCCGGGAGTGGCAGCCGCGAGGAGGTCGAGAAGTCTTCCAGCAAGCAGAAGGACAAGGACGAGGGAGGGGCTGGCGGCACCAGCGCCCTCGAGGGTCGTACGTTTTTCTGTTGTCTCTCTCTCGCTCTCTCTCTCTCTTTTCCCCCTCGCCGGACCTCCCTCACCTCCCTCCTCCTCCCTCGCACCACTTCCTAACCGCCTTCAAGGACGCCTGCGATCCGGTTTGGGATGCATTTCTTTTTGCTGGCTCGGGCCGCGATCATCGTTCGAGTCGATCCTCCGCAGCGGCAAGGGCAGGCCAGAGGTGGGCGCTGCAATCTGGGCTGCGATCCAATGTCGCTTGGATCTGGGGCGTTTCGACGGCGATCCGATCCGTTTCCGGGCCGATCCGAGTTTGCGATTCGTTCCAGCTTCGGCCTACCTCCGTCGCGACACGACCGTCCGCCGGCCAGGGGGGAGGAAGAGGAGCAGCAGCAGAAGAAGGAAGAGGATGATACGGAAAGGAGGAGGATGACCAGCGTAAACGCAAGACGCATCAACGATGTTGCCATGCATTTTCCCGTCCAGTTCCCTCGTCATGGTTCCCTACAAAAATCCCGCTTCGTGTCGGGAAGTATTCAATTGCAAGACAAGCGTCCGCGGAATTTCAGTCATGTTCAACACAAGCCCTGAGATTTCAACACTGGAGTTAAGTCGGGCATGTCCTTCTACAGGACGAATTTTCAACAACTGTCAAACAATCGTACGGGAACGATTTGTCATTGTTTGTTGTGTATGTTGTTCAGTATTTTCATGTTTCGTCCAAAATCCGTTTGTATTGCGACGCGCCCGACCGAACGCTGGCAAACAACGTGATTGTCGAGACCTGACAGTCCGTCATTGTGTCTGGAGCGATTTCAACGCACCGAATCACAGTGATTTTTGCGCCTTGACAGCCCTAAATCGCGTCAGGAAGCAGTCGTTGGGATCCCAACCTCACGGAAGGATGAACCATCCAGACAGGACAATTGGCGTTTACTAACAAGGCCCTGGGCGTTTATTAAAGACCTTGCCTTGTTCGACTCCTTCCTTGGATCCGTTTACTGAACGGCTTCGCTTGTCGGGGTGATTGTTATGGGGGTGGATTATCTGCCCTCTACAACCGAACGGGTCCAGATAACTGCGCTAATGTTTCTTGTTGGTAAAGAGTGAAACGAATGCGCGCGGTGCTGAGTCGAGTCACGCGTCTTGAAAACCGCCCGCCGTTTGTCTTTGAGACGGTCGCGCAATTTCAAGACGAATGCGCGGGGCGCTCAGGCAAGAGGCACACTTTGAAAACAGCTAGCTTTCAAGCCTTGGGTTGTTCCGATTGGCAGTTTCCATGATCATCAACGGCAAGGAGGTCCACAATAAATGCCTTCAGCCCGCCCGCCCTACCGACACGTCCGGGGGTGCGACAAAGGGGGGTATTTGAAAGCGGACGGATGCATGTGGAGGAGGCGACGAGGAGGAGGAAGAGGGGACGATAAGGAAGAGGAGAGGCGGAGGAGGAAAAGCTGGAGGAGGTCTCTGGATACGAGCACCCAAGTTTCGGTGCAACCGCTGGCGTTTACCTCGAAGTTCACGTCCGCAGCATCGCGACACGACGCGTTTGTTACCTGAGCTCTCGCGTCGTCAAGGGTACGATTTATCCCTGTAACCGTCGATCCGCTAGCATGGTAGCGGGGCGAGGTGATGGCAGCGATGCCCGGCTCGGGCGTACCCGCTGCCCGTCAATGTTAGACGAATGTCAATCGCGTAGATTATTGAGCTATTCTGGCGACAGGCGAATGACCACGGCGACTGCTGTTTTGTCAAAGCAGCATTCCATGCCAACCTCGGCGCATTGGCGAAATACCTGGAAGAACAGGAACGCCCGGGTAACAAACCATTGCCTAATGAATACGAGATGTCGATGGTGAAGGTGTCTGGGTGATCCAACGCGGCGGTGCTGAGCATCGCCAGCCGTGAGACACAGCATGAGACAGAGCTTGCGACCGCGAAGGTGGGAGGCGCCGACCCGGAAATTGTGATTGAACCAGATATGACCACATATGCGATGTTGACATTTAGGAGCCAGACATCAACGCAAGTCAGCAAATTCCCACGCGCGAGTCCAAGGACATCCAATCCACTCCAGAGCTGCACTGGGGACCGAGCTAAATTTCGCGAGTGGGGCGAGCACCCACTTATCGCGTTTGCCCGAAGCATCGACGGAACCCGCAAATGTCGCAGTGCCCCGCAGGTATGGAAAACAAGTACGGGGTTGGAGCGTCTGCGGCCTGCGAGGCTCTGAAGAAGCCCGCCGCCGGCAATTTCTTACAATTTGTACAGTGGGCCCGCCGCGAGGATCGATTATTCGTTTAATCGATGTGGATGGGTCGCGGGGTGGGTCGCGGGTGGGTCGCGGGTGGGTTGCGGTTTGGTCGCGGGCGGGTCGCGGGTGAGTCGCGGGCCGGTTTGTGGGTGGGTCGCGGTTGGGTTGCGGGTGGGTCGTGCGTGGGTCGCGGGCGGGTCGCGGGGGCGGTCGCGGGCGGGTCGCGGGGGGGGGGGGGGGGGTCGAGGGCGGGTCGCGGGCGGGTCGCGAAGTGGGTCGCGGCTCGGTCGCGAGCGCGTCGCGGGGGGGTCGCGGGGCGGGCCAAACAACAACAACAACAACAGCAACGACAACAACAATATCATCCAGAGTCCGCATCGCGGAAAATCACGTCAGCCGCGCAACGAGGGATAATGAATGGCCGATCGGCACCCTCACTCTGCGGAAAGAACGTTAAGTTCCACGCTCGCGACAATTGACAGAGCGCTTTCGGATCCCAGCGAAGAACGCGACACCCCATGGACCGTGCGCGGCAATATTGCAGCGGCGCCTCAGGCTCCAGTGCAACAGAACAGCGCGAGAGAAAACTATTGCATACAGGGGGGGAAAGGATGCGCCTGGCGGGGGGGGCAATGACCTTGACGAGGGTTTGCGGTGTATCTCCGCATGGCAATCGGACAGCGACGAGGCGCGCGTTGAGTTGAGCAGACGCAGAAGTGATCAAGACCTTCTCGCCAACAAGACAATTCGAATCACATCCCACCGTAACCGGGTTTACATGGTCGGCAAAGACGGGGGGGGCCAGGAATGCAAAATAACCGACGAGAAAAGCAGCGCCGCTTCGGTCCAACGGGAACAGCGGGTGGCCTTGGTTCAGAAGTTCCACTCTTGTAAACAAATGCACGAGCTTCCGTGACCTCTCCAGATAACGGCCACGAGCAGCATCATGCGCCACCGGTAATGACTACACGGCTATCTGCAACAATGCGCGTTCAAGACGCCAGAGTCGTCAACCCCCGAATCACAGCAAAAGTTGAGTTTCAGATGTTAGGTGTGGGCGCGCACTGTGCGCCTGCATTTGGCACGGAGAGGATGGCGACGACGCGGTCGTTGGAAGGGTTGGCAAGGCTGAGTAGAGAGAAGAGCCAATTGCTCGCCCAGGAAGGCTCCGAGAACATTGCGACGACGACGGAAAGATTGATAATCGCGTTCCCCAGAGGCCCGCGGACGGAAATGGCAGTCAAGTTTGGATGGGAGCGAGGATGGAGCTGAGCAGACGTGGACGCCGCTAAGAGAAGAAAATGGGGATGGCAACGTGGCCAGTTGCCGACGCGGCGGGATAGGCGACCAACGTTTGATTACCCGCGGGCAAGGGATCACATGTGGAGGATGTTCTCAACGAGGTCACCAGGCCAGCCCGCTGGCAGGTCTGGGGGGGGGGGGGGCGGATGCGCCCCCGTTCGGGCTCGAGGGGCGAAGGTCAATGCGCGCGGGTTTTAGTCAGCGCGCCGAATTATTCATGATCTTGCGCGTGCAAAGTCCGAGCTTTTCAGCAGTCATCAACCTCGCGCTCCCCGTGGTATGATCATCCGAAGACCTTCCTCTCTCTCCGCTTCTGCTCCTCGGGGGGGCGCTCGCGCCCCCCCCCCGCCCTTGCCCTTCGCCCCCGCGTGATGCCCTCAGCCGCTCCCTGCCCCCGCTCTCCGTTATTCGGCTGGCCCCGGAGGTGGCCCTCGAGGCTTTGGTATCAGACCCCCCTCCTTCTTCGTCGCCCCTCTCCTGCGCGCCTGCCCGGGCCGCTGCGGCGCATGCGCGCGCGGGGAAAAACGCAGCGGCGCGAGCGCACGCGAAACAGCGCAACAACACGAAACATAAACAAGACAACGCAATCGCACACGCGCGCAAACATGACTTCATTATGGCTCTGACATTGCGCGCGCAAGGGATCTTGCAGCGCCAGGGGCGCGCGGGCCCGGGCTCGGGCGCAGGTGCCTGCGGGATCTTGCAGGATCCTGCAAGGACTGGCCCGCCCGGTCTTGGATCGGCCCGCGACTGCGGATCCCCGCCCCGCCGGTGATCAGGGATGCCGCATTTAATTGCGGGTGGAGGGGCCGCGTCGCTGCGCCGCGAGCGCGAAGGAAGCGCGCCTGGGGGGATCAGGTGCGATATATCCGAGGCTGGCCGCAGCCTGAGATGGCGGGCCAGAAGATGGCAGGCGAGATGGATTCACAGGAGGCGCGGCGCTTACTGGGGCGACCAGTGCATGGGCGGAGGGCGCTCGGCCGCGCGGCAGGACTCTTGGATGTGGATCACGCGTCGTCAGATTGAGCCCCCGGGGGCAGTCCTGGGCCACGCGCTGAAACAGCGGCGGTCGCCGCGAGCGCGCGGCGCAACGGGCCGCCCGACGCGGGGGCGCGCCTCCCCGCGAAACGCACCGAGGCCTCGATCTGCGGGCGGCGCTGCAGCGCAGTCGACGACGCAGGCATTGAAACCTACGGGCAATGGATGGCCGTCGGACTGGGCGCAGCGGGGGCTGTGCCACCGCGGCGACACAAGGTGCCGACGCAAGGGGGGCGTCGTTGCCGGCAACTATTGCGTCCGATAGGGGTGGCCGTGGCCGATCACGCAGCGGCGTCGAGCGCGCGGCCTCAGGTAGACGAGCCGCAACTCGCGAGCGCGACGGGATGTCCCAGTTTACATCCAAAGCGCCTGTGGGCATAGGAGGGGAAGCTGCACGACAACAGGGCAGCGCGGGCAACGAGAAAGCACTTCCGAAGCAGGTGTTCTTCCGTGAGAGACTCTTCTTGCAAGCGCGTCGGCCCTGGCGAGCGACTTGCAAAGTCGGCGGCGCTGGGGCGGGGGGGGGGGGGCGGGAATCGCCGCAAGTGCGCCGGCGCAGGCGAGGGCGGCGTCGGCGAAGTAGAAGACACGCTTGCGACGAAGGTTTCTAAAGAGGGCATCGTGCGACCCGAGACCCAGCCAAGCAGAGGTCGAAACGCGCGCCGCCAGCGCTTCCCCCCACCCCAATTGGCGCCCCCGCTGCTTGCGGGGTAAAGCCAACAGGATAGCTCGAAAAAAATGTGAGATGTTGCCGACCGCTCGCCCCGATGAGATGCCCTTGACCACCGCAGCTTATGCGGCTTCATTGTCTACGTGCGGGGGCAAGACTAAAGGGGATTCCCAGGATATTGCTCAACCCAGCCTTTATGAGAGTGCGCTGCAGGGCACCAACTAAGCTGGATATGGGGGGCGGTCGTAAGGGGGCAGACAGCCGCGCGACCTAGGTGGCGGAGGAAAGTGCCGCTGGACACGAACAAGATACTCGAGAGCGATGGAAAGCCATCCAGAATCGCGAGAATCGAGCTGTAAGATCGTCGTCCATGATACCCACTGTGGCAGACATGACCCAGTTGACGACTCCGCGGTCGCTGGAGACGCAGAGAGAGAGAGAGAGAGAGAGAGAGAGAAAGAGAGAGAGAGAGAGAGAGAGAACAAACAAAAAAGAGAGAAAGAGAGAAAGAGAGAGAGAGAGAGAGAGAGAGAGAGAGCGAGAGCAACCGCAACTCATCGGGCAATTTTTTGGATGGTCTCATACGCCTCATTGCTAGTCTTACGGGCCATGTGCAGCGATGGGCAAACTGCCCGTGATAGATATCGGCGGCGCACGTGCTGAAACATTCCCAGGATGTGACGAATGTGTCCTTTAGCTCAAGAGGGGGGCTGAGGTCGCGTACAGATTTGGGCCCAGGCTGGAGCCAAGAGTTCCCAGAGGAGTCGGGGGCGCGAGCTTAGAGCTCGTGACCGGCGCCCACCGAGGGGTCGTTCGATCGCCGGACTACCGACGCAATGTCGGAGCAGAGGGGGGGGCGACGCTCCGACGGGATGAACTGGGCTGCCCCAGCAGCCCACGCGACGGGGTGCGACGCGCAGTCGGGGGCCATCGCGGCCGCGCCGTGAGTTCCAAAGGGGAAGCGGTAAATCCCCACCCCAGCTTTCACCAGGCGAGATTATAGTTTTGAGGAAAGCTCACTACGCTGAGGCGGGGGCCGCCCCTGGCCGCCGCGGACGCCGAGCCATCGCGCGGGGCGGCGCGAAACGCAAGCCTCATGATACCGAGGAATAGCGTGGCTTTACTTCCGAGAGGAGCCCTGGCCCAAGTCAGTCCCCATGTAACCGCTCCAGCTAAAGAACAGAGTGGCAACTGCAAACAAGAGGACGCCCGCCAGGATGATCAGACGTTCCCTCGTTGAAGCATCAGACCACTGGTCGAGGCGATGCAACGCCCCAGCGCGGATGCACAAACGCCCCCGCGAGGGAATGTTTGACGCGGGTCATAGAGAGAAAGAGAGAGAGAGAGAGAGAGAGACAGAGAGGGAGAGAGAGATATTGACAGAGAGCGAGAGAAAGAGGGAGAGAGAGAGAGAGAGGGGGAAACAACGCCAAATCATAGAAGCATGGGTCTCAGATTCCAGATCACAGCCCAATTCGCAGTGCCATCACTGGATGGACTGAGTTCGAAGTTGAAGAGGCCAGCAATGAGGAACACAAGGCCTCTAGACTCAAAAGGGCAACATATGCGGTCCCTGATGTGTACTAACAAGCGGAAACTAGTGATCATAATCAAGCCGATGGAGACGGCATGGTTGGAGAAACCGGCTTTGGGCCCACGACCGTGAGAATTCATGAGGTAGTCGCGAAATTGATCCAACAAACAAGACACACATATACCTAAGAAAGAGAGATAGAGAGCGCATTATGTGGCGCTTGGTGGAGGCGGGGGGGGTCGGAGCCGGCCCCTCTCCCCCCCCGGGCCTGCGTTGGCACCGGCGTGGGCACGGGCCTGGGCCTGGGCCTGGGCGCGTAAATGGGCGTAGGCGTTGGCGTGGGCGTGGGCGTGGGCCTCGGCGTGCGCGTGGGCCTGGGTCTTGATGTGGGCGTGGGCGTTGGCGCGGGAGTGGGCGTGATCGTGGGCGCGGGCGTGTGTGTGAGCGTTGGCGCGGGTTTGTGCGAGGGCGCGGGCGTGTGCATGGCGCGAGCGCGCGTGTGGGCGTGGGCGTGGGCGTGGGTGCGGGTGTGGGCCTGGGCGTGCGCGTGCGCGTTGCCGTGGGTGTGTGTGGTGTGGATTTGGGCGTGGGTGTGGGTGTGGGCGTTGGCCTGGGCCTGGGCGTGGGCGCGGGCGTGGGCGTGGGCGCGGTCGTGGGCGCGGGCGAGGGCGTGGGCGTGAGCGTGGGTGTTGGCGTGGGCGTGGGCGCGGGCGTGGGCGTGGGCGTGCGTGTGAGCGTTGGCGCGGGCGTGGGCGTGGCCGCGGGAGTGGGCGTGGGCGCGGGCGTGGATATTGGCGTGGGCGTGGGTGTGGGCGTGGGTGTGTGTGGTGTGGATTTGGGCGTTAACCTGGGCGTGGGTGCGGGCGTGGGCGTGGGCGTGGGCGCGGACGAGGACGTGGGCGCGGGCGTGTGCGTGGGCGCGGGCGTGGGCGTGGGTGTGGGTTTGGGCGTGGGTGTGGGCGTGGGTGTAGTTGTGGGCGTGGTAATGGGTGTGTGGGTGTGGGTGTGGGTGCGGGCCTCGGCGCTGCCAGCCGCTGCCGCCGCCGCCGCAGCCGCCGGCGCACCGGGGCCGGCGCCGGGGAGGGCGGGGGAAGTTCGATCCCCCCCGTGCGCCGGGAGCGGGGGGGGTTCGGGCCCCCCTGTTTTTTTTCGACGGCGCCGAGTGTTGGGGGGGCGGGCGTCCCCAGTTCAAACGCGCCGCCGAACATTCTCAAGGCAAGCGCCCGTAAAACGCTATCATTTCATACTTCAGAGAGTCACCGATCAACGTAAACAGATTGAGCCGTACTGGCAGAACCAGGCAATGGTGCGTGCACGCGCCATCAAGCGTACCCACCCTGGCGGATAACATGGGGCTAGCGCTCGAATTTGCCATGGATTTTACACCCGCGAGGAGTATGGGAACCCATGGGGCCGCAATCGGACTTGGAAGAGGGGGATTGTCAAAAGGATCGTCAAAGGCGAAACAGCGTTGTTACTTGTGATGAGTCCATATTATTTTCTGCATCAGCCGGGTCATGATATTCAGGCCCAAGATAATGAGGGAAGAGAGAACCAGTAATGGCGAGACGTGCCAGTACATCGGATGCTGAATCACGCAAAAGTTTGGGTAATCGAGGGGACGTGTGCAGCTATGGGACGAATTCGACATATCACGGAGAGGCACGGGCAGAAAGGAGGCCGATTAAGCACATTGCGAATTCACCCACCACGGGGCTTGAGCAGATCAGAAAGTGTAGGGGGACCCGGAGGAGGAATGACCAAAAGATGGGAAGCGTATGCAGACTGAGGCTAGAATGAAAAAAGGAGGCGATAATCCTGGCCAGCTTCACCCTGGGCCCAGCATCAGTGTATTTACGCCGTCCCTGGGCTCAGGATGAACCTAGCCAGCATCGGTGAGGTTCGCGTCCTCTTACGGATGGTTTTGCAGAAATACTGTGACGTGTTGCCGCCAGCCTGCCTGTTGTTTGCGATCCCCAATTTGGGGGACAGCGTGCACCGAGGAAATCTTGGCAGGGGGATGTCGTGCACCCGCGAGGCCCTCTCTGGAAAACGGCATGCGCGCAGGAGGGGCCCTCACGGGGGGGATCGCTTCAGAGGGAGAGCGCGTGTTTTTCGGCGATCCATATTGCACTCTAATGGTTGCAGCGCCAAACGTACGTCTCCCCTCTTTCGCTTTCCCAGGGGTCGGGTGTTGCTAGAAGTGCCCCTGGCCCAAGGTGCCCCCAGGATTTCCAAGGAGGCCCCCACGGCCTCCAGAGCACCCCTCACGAGGCCCAGAAGGCCCAGGGGCTCCAAAATTGAGCGAAAAGCTAGGGGTACCTTGGGCCAGGGGCACCTTTAGCAACCCCCGAAGGGGGGGAGGGCGTGCCGCGCCAGGACCACCGCGGCCGCACCGCGGGCGCCCGCTCGCGGTCGCCGCGGCGGTCTCGCTCTCCCCGCTCGGCGCGCCGGCGAGGAGGCCGCTCGACCACAGGGTCCGGCGCGGCCGCCCGCCGCGGCCCTCTGCGGGGGTCGCCACGGAGGGAAAGGGGGTCCTGACGGAGACGGGTCCCGGTGCGGGCGGGAAGTTGTGCCCATCGGAAGCCTTGAGACGGGGGTCAGTGCAAACGGGGGTCAGCCACGGCACCGGATCCTGCAGGATCCTGCGAAGACCCCTCTGGCTGACCCGGGTTGGCGAGCCGCTCGTGGCCGCGGGGCGGCCGCACAGATTGGCCGACCCGGGTTTGCGAAAACCTGTGTTGCAGTGTTTTGCTTTTTGCATTGCAGTGTTTGGTTTCCTGCTGACCCGGGTCTGGATCGACCTGGGTCAGACGATCCCCGAGCCCACATCCATAGCGTTTTGCAAGATCAGGTTAAGTCGGGTCTGTCCTGTTACAGGAGCAGTACTCAAAAATATTCAGAAACATAGTATGGGGCCGATTTTGACCATGTTTGAGCATGTTGGAGCATTCGTGTAGTAATTTTTTTCTCACCCAAAAACCCCTGCAGGGGTACATGCCCGCCTTCAGATCAGGTGGGCCCTTCTGGGCCAGGGTGGGCGATGACGCTGTCCTTCGGCGCGGAGCTTCCAGTGCCGACGCGGCTGCCAGGCCGGGCGCGCTGTCATCTCCTGGGGTGCCAAGGGGAGACATGAAATCGGGTCAACCGCCAGATCTCGGGCTGGGCGAAAGGGGGGGCTTGGGAAAGGGGGGGTTACGAAATCTGCTGCACGCAGCTGGTTTCGGCCTCACCGAGGGGCCCATTCCTCGATACATAGCCGCCTCCGGCGCCGGGAGGCGCCGGGAAAATCAGCTACGTGAGCTGATTTTCAACCCCCCCCTTTGTTATCCCCCCCTTTCGCCCGACCCGAAGATCGCAGTTGGTAGGTCGGTCTGTCGGCTGGCGGCCAAACTTGCTCCGCACTGGCCCCGAGCAGCGACGGCAAGAGTCGGAGTCGTCTTCTCCGACCCGGGCGCGTACGCTGTCCGCGTCATGCCGCGCGCCAGCAGCCCGTGTTTCCAGTGTGGCGCGCCACGCTGGCGGCCCGCGCGAGCGATCGTGCAATCGCTGTGCCATCTCGCGTGAGGCCGGCTCCTTCTCGGCGCCCGCAGGTGTCGGGAAGGCTGTCCCCTGGAGCGGGCACCCGCCCCCGGAGCGGAGAGACCAGGGCGTTGGCCTGGTCCCATCTTTCGGAGTGGCAAGGCAACATATGAGCGACGCAAAACAAATTTAAAATCGGGCTCGATAGCGCCGACATTCGCGCAGAAACTGCTCGCGTAAGGTCGCGTGTAAGCGCCCTCGTCTCCGCTGTGGCTTGCCGCGCTGGCGGCCCGCGTAAGCCCCCGCGTAAGATCGCAATGCCATCTCGCGTAAGACCCGTGTGTCACTCGTCGCTCATATGGAAACGCGGCACGTGTGCCACGGTTTGGTGATGTTCCGCCAGACCCCCATGTGGTGAATGCGGCGAAGTCGGCGGGTCTGATGTCGCTGAGGCTGCCAGGCTCCAACGCTTCGTAGTGTGCGCTCCGCTCTCAGAGATGGTGGCGGGTTGGCTTTCTGCGCGCGGTGCGGGTCCCTTTTGCATCGAGGTCCGTTCCAGAAATCTGTCATGCCGGAGATCTCGATCACGCCAGGGGCGCGAAGATAATAGCGCTTTGCGCGTTGCGGCCTGGGCTGGAGAGGCCACCCTTCCCCAAGGGAGCGTCGCGTGGGCGCGAGGGCGCGAGCATAATCACGCAACGCGCATCGCTCATCACTGGGTGCGATGCGCGAATCTAGGTGACCCAGGAGATGCACCAGAAAAAGCTTTCTCGACACGGAGAAACTAACGCATAGCAAGTTCGTGGAAGTTCTGCCGCGGGGACGGCCAGACCTACCTCTGGACCTGCCGACTGCTCATCAGTGAGCAAAGCCTCCCGGTTTCATGCAGGGTCTCGCCACGCGTGCACGTTTTTTTGGGTGGCAGTTGTCCGTCTTCTTTCCGTAGGCAGTATGCTTCAAGGTTTATTTGCGCAAGCCGTGTGGGCTCCAGCACCACCAGCACACCACCCCCACTGACAGCGGAGCGATGGATCGTATCGAGCCCGCAGCGCGATGGATGCTTGCAGGTGTTGTAATTGCAACCGCGGTTACTCTGAGTTTCTCTCGTTTCGCGGGATGCGTGCCTGGTTCGCGTTAAGGAAGGCGTCGGGTGGTCTGCCACGCGTTCGTCTGCCGCAAAGCATTGCCGTGTCGTTCTGCCCGCTCTGGGGCATTGCCAGCGCCACGGGATGCCGATGCGCCCTCCCGTTTCAGCGCAGGGACGAGCGTGCGAATGCCCACGAGGGCAACTGGCATTCACCGCGTGTCAGCACAAGGCAACGTCACGTCCAAATTCCGATGAGCATAGCAACAACGCGCCATTCGTATACAAATCCGCGTGCCTCTTGGTGGTTTATTGGGGTCGCTTGGGGGCCTCTTGGAGGCCTTTCGAGGCCCTCCGGAGGCCTCTTGGGGGCCTCTTCGGGGCCTCATGGGATCTTTTGGTAGCCTCTTGGGCCGTCTTGAGGCGCTCTTGCGCCGTCTGGCCCCTTCGCAGGCAGTTTTGGGGTCCTTTCGGGGCCGCCTTGTGGAATCTCACACGCCTTGAAGACCCCAAACGGGTCTCGGATTACATCTTTGTTCAGTTTGATGGTGCCATGTTTGTAGGTCTTCTAATCTTGAGTGCATAGCCCTGCATTTCGATTGTGACAGCAATGCGTGTGATACCATTGTGACTGAGATCCAAGATAACCTCGATCCCCAGCCCCTCTTCCCCTAGACTTGCATGGGTGGGGACTGCTGTGGTCGAGGTCGGTACCCCCAGTGGTCAGCGCCTGCATGGGCGGGGATTGGTGTGGTCCAAGGCGAGCGCCGACGATGTGGTCGAGGTCGTGTATCCCCAGGGGTGGCAGAAGCATCCGTACTGCAAGCAGCTCTTGCCCGCCACCAGCGGCCATATCGAAGCCGTCCATGCGCTTGATGCGAACACTTGGACGGACGTCACTGCGCGGGACAGGAAATATAGGGAGCCCTCGGAGATGAACGTGGTGGATGTGCAGCTGAATCACAACCCAGCCCTGTGGAGAACATATTTCATGGCGAGAGAGCGCGTGCGCGATCAAATGAACGGGGATGGCAATAACTGGATACGCAAAGGGAAAGAGGATGGGTGTGGAAAAAAGATGCTCACACATTTGACGGGAAGGATTGTGCATACACATCGAAGGTTTGGAAGGAGGATGTTCACAAGTTTGAGTGATTCGGGGTACAGACCTTTCAATCAATGAGTTCTTGCTGTCCCATGGGGCAGCGCCTTCTGATCGTGCCTCCATCTTCGACGGCGACTTCAAACTAGAGTGAGCTGGCAGATGTGCAGGTATGTTTCCCGCACAGCAGCAAGCGTGACGAGTATTCGAGAGACTCAGAAGAAGGCATGCTTTTGGGACTTTGCGTCGTGATGCTGTGCCGCGTCACATTTGGCAACTTGTATCACACCGATGAGGTAGAACCGAGCAAGGGTGCAATCCATGCAGCGCGTACTGGTCACAGCCGCACACACCACAGCGTGCTCGGAGACAGTGAGAAGGCCAGAGGCACGTACAGGGAATTCCTTCTCTTTGACATCGGATGTGTGTTACCGTAGAGAGCAGGCAGACGTCTGAATCTGGTTAACGTCGATCCAAGCTCCTGCCAGCCAGATCGGCTTGGATGTTCATTGGCAACCGCAGTTGTCCTGGCGGGTAGCCTGAGCTGTTCGCTATTCAAGCGCATGGCGCTTCTACATGTTTTCAAATGTGCATTCATTGATACGTTAATGGTGTTGCCCCACCTTGTGATTGGAATATTGTCGGGGTTCGGGTTTAGGCCGAGCTCGCTTCTGGATGGAACTGGAGCGTCTGATCCAGACATGGCCACCAGGGGCCACCTGCGACATCCCGCGCGCCTGGCGCGAGAGTCTGCTCTGAGGACCCAGTGCGTGCGCTATGAGTTGTTGGCTCGGTGCTCGAGCGCGTGTGATCCTGCTCTTTTTTGTTTCCATGCCTCTAGAGGGGGCGGTCGATCCGCTCGTGTCACCTCGCAGAGCGACTGGTGAATTTGCATGGAGGAAACGGTGGGGGCGGGGACGGTGGCGGAGGAGAAGGAGGAGGGAGACTCGCGGGCGGGACAGGGCCAGTCATCAGCCAGCGTCAGGCTGCGAGTATCTCGTGCCAACGCCTACTCACAGCGTTTTCGAGCACCTCGGTGACCTTGGAACGGCCGCCATGCCCGATGCATCTGTCGGGCGTGCCACGTCTTAGGGGATTGCATTGAGAAGTTCGCGACCGTCTAATGTGTATGCTGTCCTCGTTTTTACGCTGTCCTCGACCTCCTTTTATCTCTTCCCATCTCCACTCAGACCTTCCCCCTCCCCGTCCGACATCCAGCCTCCAGGAACCGGGCTGCAGTGCCTTGGTTTCCGCTTCCGCCGCCGCCGAGGGGCGCGCACGGTTGTCGGGCCAGCGGTGTTGTGCGTGCCAGTGCCGATTCTCCACTTCTCCATTGGGGGATCCCACGATTTTTCGATCCGTTCTCTTGGGTGCGAGGAAGGTTCTTCGAGGTTCAGGAAGAGGAGGAGGAGGCGGAGGAGGAAGAGGAGGTGGAGGGGGAGGAGGAGGAGGTGGAGGAGGAGGAGGAGGAGGAGGAGGAGGCGGAGGAGGAGGAGGAGAACAGGTGGGGGAGGAGGAGGAGGTGGTGGTGGTTGTGGATACCTTGCGATGACTTCCAGCACGTCTAGCCCCTGGGGTGGGGCGAGCTACTGTACTTGTGGGTATCGTCGCCTCTGCTGCCCGATGGAGCCGCACCAGCTTGTGCTGGAAGCGGCCCCGCTCCAGCATGTGCGCCCCTTCGCAGCCTCGCATTCCCCTCTGTAGCTAGCACTGCCTGAGGACAGGAGGAGGAGGAGGAGGAGCAGCAGCAGGAGCAGGAGCAGGAGCAGTGAGTGGCTCGCGTGAAAGTGTGTGGAGGCTGGCTCCACGAATTTCTTGCAGGTAGGTTCAAGGCATCAGTCCGTGCGAGCCGAACTCATGATTAGCTTTGCGGACCGATCCGAGAAAAGCAGTTCCGATCCTTTGCGTCATGATCACGATATCTGAGCATTGTACCGTTCCAGCGAGTTGTGAGACACAAATAAAACAAGGAGCCACTGTCGAAGGCCGCTGAGACACTCAAGCGATACTACAAGGGTGACAGTCAGCGGATTCAGACTTGATTCAGGGAGACGGCCTGGCTGCCCGAGAGTTGACGAACGCGTTCCGTGTCACGCTGGAGCACTTGAAGGGGCAGTCAGTTATTCCGTCATGGCTGCGCAAGTCGAGGTGGCCGCTGGCGGGCATGTACCTCTGAATGCAGCAGGCAGGCTGGGAGGTCTGCTCGCCAGCGTTGTTTCAGGGAGCATATGGATCATATTAACATATGATCGCCACTTCTCCCCAGCAAATTGCCCGAAGTTCTATTCGTGAGTTAAGCAAGAGATGTGTAAACACGGTGGTGGAAGAAGGGTATCCAGGGAGTCGAACCACGAGCGGGGATCCGTCAGCGTGGCTTGTGGGGCCTACGGCCCCGCCGTCTCTTTAGAACGCAAGTCGTTTTCTAGACGATCTAACCCTTTCTAAGCGACATCAGAAGCTAAGTTTGCAGGTTTTTGTTACCACGTACCGCACTTGTTTAACTTTAAAACAGTGGGGATGCGACACCACTGGCTTGTGTCCGCACTGTGGGGGCCCTCGGATTGTTGTTCACCGTGCCTGGCTTTGCCCCTGGTGTGCAGCCGAGAGGGGAGGCCAGGACGAGGAAATTCGTGCTATGGCACTTCACCATGGGCCTATTGACCCCCTCCTTGCATCCTTGCGGATGACTGTCCCCCGATCACCACTTGGCCCATGGAAGAGCGAGCCGTATCCTTTTTCAGTGACAGTGGACAGTGTGAGCCGTTTTTGTTTGGCAGGCAAGGTCGCCACAACAGCGACGGGATATGCTTCGACGGGGCCATTATGAGTGTTAGTCGAGTTGTTTGGGCTGTCGTCGAGGTATCAGAAACAAGCCAGCTGCTTCGTGAGATTTCTGGACCCGTCCCAGACGGGGTGCCGCAGACGGCGACCGCTTCTGAGCACCACGCAGACGGCGGCCCTGCTCCCGCAACCCGATACGCACTGGATATGGATACAACTATGGTCCTTAGAGACGATGTTCTCTATGTTCGCTGCGCCTCGCCTTGTGGTACCCTTTTCAAGAGAATCCAATACGCACTGGATATGGATACGAATCGTTCCCGCACCTATGTTCTTTGCCGCTTTCGGGCTCCCAAGGTTCCTTTTGATCCCCGGAACTGTCAGGAAACGGCTCAGGATGAAGAGTTGGTCCTGGGGGACGACCCCGCAAGTCCAGAACCCATTTCCTTCAGTACCCGTTCCGTTCATGCCAACGGGGAGGATCTGCCAAATAGAGACATGACAGTCAATGTTCCATGGTTCGCGCGGACTTCTTAGATCTGCCCTTTCCCCCCGCCCCCTTTCTTTGCGCGCGGAACGCGCCAGGGGCGGCGTCGGAGGCGCCGCCAGGGTGGGCCATCGCACACTCGAAAGATGTTGTTTATGCTGTCGTCTGCTTCCTAGGATCGAAGAAGCTACATGGTTACCATGGCCAATGCGTGTAGATTGTAAATCACGGGAGCTTCCGTTCGTCGCTTATGGGGGCGGATAGTACCAAAGGGCGTTGATTAGCGCCCAGTAGCGCCGCATAGCGCTCACACGGCGCCCAATAGTGACCAATAGCGCCCACTTGCCCCGTCTGATTCATTTGGGTTGTTTTGACACCCTGGGGGGAAGGCGCTCCCGCATGTGCACCTGTAATGAACCAGCCAGCCGCATTCGACAGGCATCGCAACAAGTGAGTCGCCTTCGCCATCACCACTGTCAACATAATACATGTTTGCAATTTCCCTCATCATGGCCCCCTTTTGGATACTCGTTGTGCACATGTGCCGTTGCATCGGATTTAGGGCGGTCTGAGGGGCATCGCGCCTTCGGCTTTCATCGTTGTGGGCGAGTTGTCGTGCGTTTTGCAGTTCCGTCGAGGTCACACTGAAAGGGGTCTCCTGCAGGGGCGTACGAGAGTGAAATCGGTCGGGCGCGGGGGCGGGAACAAGGACTCGAGTGCATGGGCATGTGGAAGATGACCATGAGTGGGCGGGTGCGTTCAAGAAGGAGGGATAGTCTAGTCAGGTACCATACATTCCCTGCCATGCTTCCTCCATCGGAAGGCCCTCTGAGCACTGGGGGATAAGGCTGCAATGCTTTTATAGGCTTCTTGCGTGGTGCATGGTCGTCGCTTGGGAGATTGGTTGCTGCCCACTCAGCGAAGCGCACCCCAGGTCAAGAGAAGGCAGGAGGACGCAGAGGAGCAAGCCAGACGCTCAGCAGCCTATCGTTTCTGTTGCCTCCCGACGGCTTCTGTGGCAACTCACCCGTACCCGTTAACAGCTTTTTGCGGCTCCTGTGTTCTGGCATCGCTCGGACGTGTGCATTTTTTCTTGGCGAGGGCCATCGAGGAGCATCCTCGATCATTTGGCGAAAAAACCACGCACTAAACCTACAAAAAACACAGGAAATGGACGTCCGAGCGATGGCCAGGTGTGTGATCGCCAGGTTCCTGGGGTTCCAGATGCCAGTGTCTGCATGCTTGTGCATGCGGAGCGCAGCAGCCGCCGCACGTGGGTGTATCCATGCTGCCGGCTCCCCGTTTCTGAGTCTTTCCAGTCCCCATTCAACGCCCCCCGCCCCCCTCGCAGCTCCTCCTCTTCCTCCTCCCTCCCCCTTCCCGTCCCTTTCCCTCCCCTCCTTGCTCCCAGTCGTGTTGCTGTATTGTGGGTGGGGCGGGTCTTGAGGAGATCAGCATGTGGATGAGGTGAGCGGGCATGTTTGTGCGCATTGTCTGCTTAGCTTGTCGGGGCTTGCTGGTCCGAATTGCACTGGCCCCCGAGGTTTCGGTCAATATTTCGTTGGTCGGTCTTTTATCGGTTCGGCCTCGCCTTTCCCCCTCGCTCGCGCGGTATCGTGCCCTTCGGCCCACGCGCTCGTCGCGTGCTTCTCTTCCTGGGAGCAGAGGCTTGACGCCTTCCATGCTAACGAAGCCCTCCCTGCTCCCCACCCCCTCTCGCCCTCCCTCCGTGCTCCGTCCCGCCCCTCCCCTTCGGCCGCGCTCCTCCCCCTGCCCCTGGCAGCGCGGGACTCCGCCGGAGCAGCCGCAGCTT